TGCAAACTTGTTAAAAAAAAATCATATGAAGCAGAATTTGCCCAAAATCTTATATGTGAAAAGAAGAAAACACTTGCTGTGGCCTTCAACTCGACATTTAGATATATTGACGACGTATGGTCAATAAACAATGGTTATTTCCATTCTTATGTCAATACGATATATCCTGGTGAGTTTGAGATAAAACATACCACAGAGTCTGACACATCTGTTTCATATTTGGATATTTTACTTGAAAAAGACGTTAATGGTAATCTTACAACCAAGCTTTATGATAAACGTGATGACTTTAACTTCAATCGTCAACTTCCCTTACTTATGCAGCAATATACCTTCATCACCTGCATACGGGGTTTATATCTCTCAGTTGATTCGATACGCAAGAGCATGCTCTACGTATGTACAATTTCTAAAACGAGGGAAATTATTGACAAAAAAGTTGATGAAACAAGAATATCAGCAGTCTCGTTTCGTAATTCTATGGTCGATACAATGACCTTGTCAGCAAATACAATTTATCATTGAGTCAAATGCTGACTGACGTTTTTCATACTAATTGTTAGACCATTACGGTATTTACACACCGAATTGTTGACGAATTTTTCCGTTATTTCCCGATCATGACAAGGAGCGGGTGTGACCGGTCGGCAGGGGATGCTCACTCCTCCATGGCACCTGATCCCACCTCTGATGTTTTGGAGGTCCGTGTTTGCTCTGCTCCTATTTTGTATTGTTTAATGCAGTCTAATTAAAATTAGATGTTCCGAATCCGCTACCGCTTCTCAAACATCTAACAACATCCCATTAGGGGTCACGTCAGAGCGACCTTTCGATTATGAATAAACATAAAAATTTTGGCCAATCAGATTCAATCTTCTGTATACAATTCTAAAATTAGTTCCATCTTTACATCTTTACATTATTGATGCTCAGTAGACTGTCTTACGTTGAATTAAAGTAATTTTGGTATAAATTGAACGTATAGTCCGCCAATCTGTCATTCTTACCTGAATAACGCAAACGAAATTGCACAAACTACTATATATCCCGCACGTCACATTCATATATAGCACGGTCTTTACCATGTATATTTGTTTACTAAGAAACCCCTCGGGCATTTAGGTTTGGCAGTAAAAAAAGAAAGGCATCCGAACTATAAGCCAAGATTTCCGAGACGGCGATTTCATTGGGTAATCGAAAGGTTGCTCTGACGTGACACCTAATGAGATGTTGTTAGATGTTTGAGAAGCAGTAGCGGATTCGGAACATCTAATTTTAATTAGATTGTGTTTAATGGACTTTTGAGCTTGAATACTGTTCGTTATCTCCATATATTTCATCTTCAGTTTTCAACAAAAAGTACAATATCTTGATAATTAGGTCTATTTCAAATTGTGTTTATGTACAGTATTATCTTTTACGAAATGGTGTGTTTTCACATTCTATCCCTAATATTCAAAATGTTTTTGTAATTATTTATACGTATCTTTGGTGGTTGGTGTATAAAAAATTCCTGAATTATTGATTTTGTAAATCAAAATTAACATTATTTGATATATATTTGCTTAGTAAATCTGAAAGTAACCTCATAACATTCATATAATTATTGAATCTTATGTTAGTGCACAAAGGTCAACAGAAGTAGTAATAATTAAGGAGTCGCCCGCGTGGCGCAGTGGTTAGAGGGTCTGCTCTAGAGTCTCGAAGAAAGGAGTTGATCCTTACGTCGCGGGTTCGAATCCCACTGTGGGACATGGAGACCGGTCCTTCGGATGAGACCGTATAAACTGAGGTCCCGTGTCGCAGTAGGTGCTGGCACGAAAAAGATCCCTCACTGCTCAATGGCCGTAAGTGCCGAGTATAGGACAAAATTTGCAGCTCTCCACCGGCAAGTGGTGGCGTCTCCATATGAGTGAAAAATTCTCGAGAGGGACGTTAAACAACATACAAACAAACAAAAGTAATAATTAAGGACATACGCAACGTACCTTACCTACTGATAAGTTTTTAAGATATTCTTAATTTAAGATAATATTGCCATCAGATGTTCGTAGACAAAAAATCAGCATGCATTACCAGGGGTTTTGAAAAGATATCAATAGTTGAAATTTTTTGTAAATATCAAAGAAAAATACACAACTAGAAATATGTCCATAGGACATGAATGCCCCGCCAAGGGTATATTAGTAATGCAACATGAAAATTTGTGTTAGTGTATGGAATTTGATGATACTATCTTGAATAGTTTCTTTAAAATTGAAATTGAAATCCAAAAAGTTGGATAGAGATGATTCTCACCAAATCTAAAAAGTTGGATAGAGATGATAAATTCTCACCAAATTATGTATAAGTGCATAAGCTTACATAAATATATCTTAAATGGTTTCTTTAAAATAAAGCAAAATGCGAAGTTATGGAAATGAGGTCAAGGTCACATGAAACTTCAAGGTCAAACGTTTTTGATGCAGTTGAATAGTTCTCACAAATGCGTATGGGCATATTAAGTTTGATAAAAATATTTTGAATGGTTTATATAAAACTGAGCTAAACATTAATTTAAAATAAATGAAGTTAAGGTCAAAGGAAAGGTCAAGGTCAAAAAATGTTGATGCAGTTGAAAAGGCTACACCAGTATGTATTAGCATATAAAGTTTGATAAAAATATTATGAAAGGTTTCTTTGAAACTGAATTAAACACAAATTGAGAAAAGTGAGGTCAAGGTCAAAGGAAAAGTCATGGTAAAAAAAATATTGATGCATTTGAATAGCTTATATCAGTATGTATCAGCATATGACGTTGGACACTAATTTAAAAAAAAGTGAGGTCAAGGTCAAAGGAAAGGTCAAGGTCAAAAAATGTTGATGCTGTTCAATAGCTCTCATCAGTATTTATCAGCATATGAAGTTTGATAACACTATATTGAATGGTTTCTTTAAAACTGAGCTAAACACTAATTTAAGAAAAGTGATGTCAAAGGAAAGGTCAAGGTCAAAAAATGTTGATGCTGTTGAATAGCTCTCATCAGTATGTATCAGCATATGAAGTTTGATTACACTATCTTGAATGGTATCTTTAAAACTTAGCTAAACACTAATCTAAGAAAAGTGAGGTCAAGGTCAAAGGAAAGGTCAAGGTCAAAAAATGTTGTTGCAGTTGCATAGCTCTCATCAATATCTATCAGCATATGAAGTTTGATAAAAATATCTTGGATAGTTTCTGAGAAACTGAGCTTTGAACAGAGCTAAACGCAAAGCGTGACGGAAGGACGGAAGACGGACATGACAAACACTATATGCCCCGGCCATATTCATGGCGGTGCATAAAAATTACTAAACACATATTCTAGATGTTTTGATTATCCAAACTTGTTTTAGAAGAAGTGTACAACAGCATATATGGACATTAAAATGTAGCACACAGTTTCTTTAAGTATTGGAACTCTTTAACTCCAGGAAAAAGGACAATAAAGTTAAAACTACGTATGTCCTTAAGAAAAACTATCTGTCATTAGTTTGCAAGGAAAGATATATATTTTACCCACTTTTTATAATCATTAGGGTATATTCTTCATCATATTACAGATTGGAAACCCTGTGACAAAGACTCCTCGAAAACATTTTAAAATTGTGGTTTAGATTGACTCCAAAATAAAATCCCTTGAAAAATATTGAGCGCTTTTGCTTATATTTCATGTTATATGGGCTTAATCTTTCATGTCAATTTAAAAATATAAGTATTTTTTCTTGTGTAAAATAGCTGACTATTTTTAAGTAAATAAAATCAGTAAACGATGATATTTCCTAAAGTATTTTTGTTATTTTCCGTCTAGTTCTTGTGACATTTTACCACTAAAGATGACTGAAAATGTCTAGTTGCAGTGTATGATTATCGTTTCAAGTTGCATAAGCTGCAGTATATTCTTGAACAAGGAAACATGCCTTTTAATTTGGATTAATTAATAAGCGAGTGCTAATTAATGATTTTGGAAAGTTTGAAAATCCTTTGATAAAGTCTTTTCGGACATAGGTTCTACCTTAGGTAACCAGGGCAGCACTGTTTATTGAAATCAAAACCGATATATAGAAGTATGTAGCCCAGTGCAATCTACTTGTGTGCCAAGCTAAACTTAAATCAGACTAAAACTGTAGGAAGAGAAGCATTTTAAAGAATTTCTCCGAAATTTCTTTTGTTAGCAAACAAGGCAACACCATTCATCGAAATTAAAAACTGATATAAAGAATGATGTATTTCAGTATACTTGTGTGCCAAATTATATTGAAATCAGACCAAAACTGTAGGAGGAGTAGCGTTTTAAAAGTATTTCACAAAAGTTTCTATGTTTAGTAACCTTGGCAACACTGCTCATCGAAATCAAAAACCATTCAACAGAACTATGTATCTTAGTGTAGTCTACATGTGTACCAAGTTATATTGAAATCAGAAAAAAAAACTGTAGGAGGAGTAGCATTTTTGAAAAATTGTTTAAAGACAGCTAGACAGACCGACGACAGACACATTACTATTGCATAAGCTCTTCTGGCCTCAGGATCATGAAGCAGTCTTCGACTTGTGTCCAAATTTCATTCATTCCAAAAATGAATATTTATTTGAAACTGATTCTTGAAAATTAAAATAAACTGCACGAAAGGGAAACAAGCTTAAATATCGTTTCAAATTTCATGTGGTTTCTATCGTTAAAATTTAAGACAATTGACAAATTCTGACTTAAGTCTAAGGCTGCTTCATGATCTCGGGGCCTGGTTTCTGACCAGTAGAGCTAAAAACGGATGACCACCCTTTATTTACGTCTTTAATGATGTTATAGCAGGTGACAAATGCATTCCTTGGAACACTCTTAGTTCATTATATCACTATCTTTGGTCCAGAAGGTATACTGTCTGGTACTTGTACGTCAAAAATGAGAAAAAAACAAGCATTGAAATTGAAAATACTTTTTATTATTAAATGCATATTTAATTAAGAATAGGAAAACCAGAGATGAATAAAATAACCATCATGCATGAAAAAAAATCAAAACATAAAATTTTTATATTTACACATGCAATAAAAAGTGAAAAATACAATGCAAATATTACCGGGGTATGTTCACGCATGAATCCTAGTATACCTTATACATGTACAATTGTACCATTTTTATAGCTTTTGAGGTCAAAACAATGAATTTACAACCCAAGGAGTACACTATTCGCCGAGTCTAAGGTTAATTTAAGGTTGGTCTATCCTAATCATAGGAATATCTCCATTTACTGTAGAACCATTTGGTACATTATATGACTGACCTCATTCCAGTTCCTTCCCCTTCCATATATTGTGTAGGCTGTGAAAAAAAAAATAGAAGAAAAATATCACTTTACTCTCATGGCATATAATCAAACTTTTATATCTGATTCTGGTCTACAATTAAAGAAACTTTTAGAACATGGTTAGATGACAGCTTATACAGAGATTGGAAACAAGAAACATGCTCCCTTGTTTCTGTGCAATAAATAATTACATGTATTATACACTTTTTCCAGTGGTTGCAACTGTAGCTTTCTGTCATCCATCTCAATTTTTTCAAGCCAGCAAGCTTCAATTGCTTGGATTTTTTGCAGGGGACATTGCCATTGAGAATAATTCACAGAAATTAAACATGTAAGCATTCATGGCAACAGTTTGTCAAAATCAGAAACCAATAGAAATGATTCTGTATATTAGTGTAATTGTATGCCAAAATGAAATTGTACAAAAACTGTAAGGGGAGAGAGAAAAAGAGAAACAAGATTCCCATGAACCACAATGCTCACCTGAATAACCTTTGTCCTGCTGTTTTTGATTTTAAGACTTTAATCCCTTAAAAAAATTGACTTCATATTGTGACCAAACTCTAGTCTCAACGGGTCATGAAGAGGCATCCCCGCTCATCATAACCACACATCTAGTTTATTTGCTAAATATACAGGGGAAGAGAAGATTTTTAAAGAATTTATGCATTTTCACTATATGATCATTAGAACCACTCACCCTGGGGCCATGAATTTCACAAATTTGGTAGAGGGCATAATGTTTATAACAACAATGGCAACAATTCAACAGCTTGATGTCCAGGAGTAAAGAAGATTTTTAAAGATTGGTTAATTTTGATGGTTTTAGCCCCACCCCTGACACCTGTAGGTAGGGTGGAGCTACAACAAAGGATCAAAGTTTCACATAGGAATATACATGAGAAAAAATCTCCTGATGAAGAACGGCAAGGCCATATTGATTGAGGTGAGTGCTGTGGCCAATGGGCCTCTTGTTTAATTTTTAAATCCTACTGTGGTCACATCATTACCTTGCAGCCATGAATCAAACTAATTTGAATATGTGCTAATTAAGAATGCTTGTATATCATATGAATGTAACTAATCATCACCGTATGGAAAGTGCTAATCGAAAATCTACTTGATTTGGATCACTTGCTATATTGCTTTGGGTACTCTGATGCATTGTGGGTAACGAAGAAATTCGGCAAGCAAAAGATGAGGAAAAGTTATTTTAAGCAATTATGTAACGTCTTGACTTAATGGAATCATTGAAGATTTATCCGAGTAAAAATGGAGAACTTTCAGGAATCCAATACCGTTCTCATTTACTAAGTTAATATGGGATTTTCGCTTATTTTGAATTATTTTAAATGTATTTGATCATTTTTAAACGATATTCTGTTGTAAAAGTGTTTGTCTAAGTTTTCTCCCCAATTTACCCACGAAACATCTTCTAATTTCTATAAATTACACTTTTTAAAGAAAATGAGCGATTCTTGTTTTGAGTGAATGCTATAGTATGTTTGCAACATTTTTTTGTGATGGCTACACTTTTTTTGGACACTTTTTCCAATTTGCATGAAATTAAGATTTATTGTTTTATGATAATATCATTGTGATTTAAACATTATGGAAAAAAAACATTGGCATACATAATCACAAGGGAAACATTAATTAGTTGAAAGAAGTTAAACAGATATAAATAAGTACAGAATTTAATGAAATGTGCAATCATTGTTTGTGTTCGTGGGATACTTGGTTTACGTTTTGTTGTGTTAATACGGAAATGCTGTGTTTGATAAGCCTAAAGTACTTCTGTCTTAATACATTGCAGTTAGTTTGATATTTTCTTAAAGAATTGAGGTGTAAAAGGCGCGTACAATCCTCCGATCTGAGAAAAGACACTTCTCAATTCTGAAAGTTCATGAAAAGTTATATTTTTCAAAAATTGTATTGTCAATTTAATCTTCTCAACATTTACTTCCTTTATTTCATTAAATAACTTATTGATAAATAATATATTTTTCACTTATGTTTTAAAGTATGTGAAAAGAAAAGAAAAACCTTCACACATGATTTGAACCCTCTCCAAAGCTCATAATTAGGCGTAAGACTGAACATGTTAACCACTATACGCTACGAAGTCTTCTTATCTTTATTGTGTGTCATTGCGCTTTACATAAACGTATTTGTTGAAACATATAATTTTTTCCACCTATCATATAACCTATGATATCACTGAGCCGTATTTTGGCTGATTTGTTTCAAAACAACTGTTAGGCCTTTGTTTTTATACTAAATTTGATTACGGAATGTTCCGTTTACTTGATCAATACATAGGGCTCACTGCGGGTGTGACCGGTCAACAGGGGGTGCTTACTCCACCTAGGCACCTGATCCCACCTCTGGAATTACCGGGGATCCGTGTTTATCCCCTGCTAACATATTTGTATTGTTTGTAGATTTTTCAAGATCAATCACTGTTCGTTATCTTCACCTTTTTCATTCCAGAAATGTTCGATTTTCATATAGAATGGGTTCAAGACTCCATTTTTTTGAAACATAAAATAGAATTTACATTTTACTTTTCCGTCATTTAAACGCGCTAAAATTGAATGGAGACTTGACCCATTCATATTCAAAAATAATTTCTTACGGCTCTAATATACCCATTTTCCACTGAATATGCTTTACTGTCAAGTTAAAAAAAACAATTATCAATCAATAAGTCATTAGATAAAATAAATTCATTGAATCAAATAAAATTGAGAAATATATTGTCACAGAGCGGAGGATTGTCCTCCCCTTATATGCCCTCTTTCTTTTAGAAAAATATAATAAAGAGATTATAATGCAACTTTTGTAATATTTTACCAATTTTCACACTATCATTAGACATCAGAATTTACCACTCTGATAAGTGAACCAGAATCTATGAAGACTAAAGTTTAATTAAAATTTTGCATTATTCTCATAGAGAGATCCAGCAAAGTGGAAATAGGTCAGAGGGTCAAAACTTCGTAAGTGAAACTATACATATTAATGAAAAAGAAACGTCATTAGAATTTTTTTTTTAATTTAGATGCTGTCATAAGACAGTAAAATCTGCAGGTTCAGAGTGTCTGCAGTCACCTTCGTACCTCAGTAACTAACCAAGAAGCCACACTACTTTTTCTATAATTCATACAAATACATATGTATCACGTTGAGCATAAAATGCTCAAGGTGGGCATATGACCCATGGACCTCTTATAAAAGTATTTTTCTATAATAAATGCATTAATAGTCTGAAATTAAAAAAAATGAAGCATGGATTCTCTTTGAAAAGGATTTTTGAGAAAAAAATTGTTTTAATTTAGTTTCTATAATTTTTCCCCAGGATGAAAACCTTGCGCATAACACCACCAATCATATTCAAAAAGATGACTCGGCCATTGTTAAAAAGAGGAATCTGAGGAAGAAAATAGTGTGCCAGACTGTTATGAACACAACGTACCATCAATAAATAATTTTGCTGAGTGCACTAAATGCTATACGTATACGCGAAAATAGCATAGCCGTCATGGCAACAAAGATAGCTTTCTGGATATTTTCTACGCAAACATAAAATAGCTCACAAAAACTGGGATAGATGCATATTTGATGTAATTGTCAAGGTATAAAGAAGACCTTGTAGTCGAATATGATAGCTATCATTTGATAAAGATTCATATGAAACATAACGATAAATATTTTATTTAAATAATGTCCACAATCCATTTAAGTGAATGATTAGTCAAAAAATGACCATGAGACGCGTTAAAAACGCTTGCTTCCGATGTTTAGGAGGGAAAGATGATACAAATATATGGTAAACTTTAGATATAACAAGAAAAGTCTCATATTAGCTATTTTATTATGTGTAAGAAAACGTATATAAATGACATTTTTTGTCTAAATGTAGAGACAGAAATTTCAAATGATCCATCAAAAGTATAGCTAGTAAATCAAGTAGATTTTCGATTAGCACTTTCCATACAGTGATCATGGCCCTGCTGTATTTTCAAGTTTAAGGTTTTTTTTAAAAAAAATCCTATATTTCCATGTAAAATTTTGATACCCTATTGTGACCCCATTCTAACCCAACGAATTGGGGAAGAAGGGGGGGGGGTGTTGCATGATTTGAATTTGCACTATCTGTACATACATGCAAATTAATGTGACAAACATGGCCCTTCATATTGCTATTGAGAAATTGTTTTTCACGTTTTTCCCTACATATTCCAACAAGCATTCCGAGAGTATTGCATTAGCAATACTAGTCCCCTACCGGCAAGTGTAATCTGTTCCCGTTAAAAATTGAAAATGCCATAATTCCGTCAAAAATCAATGAAGCGGAATGAAAAGAAAACTTGATCTATAACTAATCAAGGTTAAGTCACATACCAAAAATCTGCTCAATATATGCAAGCGTTTAGAAGAAAATTGTGGAAAACCCTTAACAAGTTCCGTCAAAAATCAATGAAGCGGAACGAAATTCAAACTTGATCTGTAACTCATCAAGATACACTCGCATACCAAAAATCAGCTCAATGTCTGCAAGCGTTTAGGAAAAAGGTGCGGAAAACCAAGTGGGACAGACTGACAGAAAGACAGAGGGACAGACAGAGGGACAGACGGACGGACAGACTCAGAGGAAACCTATAGTCCCCTCCGGTTTCACCGGTAGAGGACTAATAAAAATCTGATCCCCAATGGCAGCACCCTACTCCCCAAGGCCATGAATTGAACAAACTTGAATCAGCACTATCTGAATATGCTTGGATATTAATATCAGCATAACAAGCTTAGAGTAAAGTGCCATGGCAAACAATTTTGATTCATTATAAATGTAATTCGTTATGTCTGATAAATTCATACAAAACTACAGGGAACAAGCAAATTCAAAGATTGTGGTCCCTCGCTTTTGGTGTCTTAGTGGTTGGGAAGCAGTTATTTATGGCATATTGTAATGCACATGCAAAATTTAAATTCCCTATTTTCTCTCATTCAA